CTCTCTCTCTCTCTCTCTCTGAGATTAAATCGGACTGCAATTTTCATTCGCTCGCCGATTCAATCGCCGTGCGACAAACGACAAACGCTCTCGTCGAAAAAGAATCCGCAATGTTTGAACGAAAAACGTAAAACGTAAAAATGTTCTCGACAAGCAAGTTTCTTTACTCTTCAAGATTTGCGGCAAAGCGAAAAAGATTTCAGAATAAACAAATTTCAGCGTCTATATTTACTTGAAAATTATATATTTATTGTCGCGCTGGTGTGTCTAGTTTAATAAAATTACTTGAGTCCATTTCTCTTTTACGAAACCTATCAAAATCCTGCTTTCGCTCAATATATTCTATATCATGAAGAAACGTCGAAATTATTTTTGTACACAGAATAACACTAAAAGTGCATTTTAACAAAAATATTTAAACATAAAATATTAAATATTCTTCATTTTAATACGAGTTAAATTTAAAGCATTAAAAACTGTTATTATTGAGCAAATAAGGATAGAATGATGTGATACGAAATTTAAACCAATAATTCGGTATCTTGTAAAAAAGTAATCAACGTTGATAATGCCATATCTGAAAATAAATCAAGTGGATAAATACACACGTAATAATTTTTTTATACAATCATATCTATTGAATCAATCATCTATTTATTTATCTATTTATTTTTGCAAGCAGTATCAATTGCATTTAACGCAGTATAAATAATTCGAAAAAAATACGTTTTTCTTGATATAGTTATAATTGGAAAATAGTTTTATTAATACACATAGATAATATATTATGTGTGTATTATTCGCAAAACCGTATATTCATGTCAATAATACACTGTAATGTCTCCTTCGCTGAGAGGTTACCGTGTGTTTATTAGCTAGATTTGATGTATCAATATTTATATTGAACACGCGTCTTTCGTTCTCCTTCATACTTTTCGACAGAAACGTTCTTGTATCGTGCTCAGTCACACGCGTCCAGTCACTTCAAACGGACACAATGTCACTAACAATAAGTATTGCGACTAAAAAGCATATATGGGAATATTATATAAAACTGACGGATTTTGAAGCACAGTGCAAGTTTTGTGAAAATAAATACAATTATGTAACAAATGGAAACTTCAAACAACATATAGTAAAACAGCATGAAAGAATTTGGGAATACGAAAAAGAGAGAAAATCAATGAAATGGCCATGGATGTATTTCAAGTATTCGAACAAATTATATTCACAATGTGTTATCTGTGATGCAAATATTCCGTCGCTATCTGAATTTGTAGAAGATCATTTAAGTTCGCATTCTCAAGAACAACGGCAGAATCATATACTTCGAAGTTGGACAAAGAAATATTGGACACAGAAAGGTGATTTTACGGTGGAGTGTAATATTTGTCACAACAATGTATCTGTTTCTATTGTCAATTATCTGGATTCTCATATAAAAATAGCACATTCGGACAAATTGAAAAATACGCAAGAAACATATAACACAGTTGGCTCGTCAGAACGCGTTTCATCACTTCAAACGAACACAACGTTTAAGTCACAAACTACAATCAAAAAGCATCTATGGAAATATTATGTACAGCTGCCGGATTTTGAAGCACAGTGCAAGTTTTGTGAACATAAATTTATTTATGTCATAAGTGGAAACTTTAGAAGACATATAGAAATACATCATAAAGAAATTTGGAAATATGAAGAAGACAGAAAACTAACAAAATGGCTATGGATGTATTTCAAGTATTCAAACATATTATATTCACAGTGCGTTCTCTGTGATGCAAATGTTCCGTCTACATCTGCATCTGTGGAAAATCACTTGAGTTCGCATTCTGAAAAACAACAAGAGAATCATATACTTCGACGTTGGCTACAGAAATATTGGACAAAAATAGATGATTTTGCGGTGGAGTGTAATATTTGTCACAAGAACTTCCTTCTTTCTGTTAACACTTATCTGGATTCTCATACAAAAATGCAACATTCGGACAAATTGAAAACTATGCAAGAAACACGTGGCACAGTTGGTTCGTCAGAACACGTTTCGTCACTTCAAACGAACACAATGTCTAAGCTACAAACCGCAATTAAAAATCTGTGGAAATATTATATAAAGCTGCCGAATTTTGAAGCACAGTGCAAGTTTTGTAAAAATAAATACAATTATGCAACAAGTGGAAACTGTAAAAGACATATGGCAAGATACCATGAAAAAATTTGGGAATACGAAGAGAAGAGAAAATTAATAAAAAGGCCATGGATGTATTTCAAGTATTCAAACATATTATATTCACAATGTATTATCTGTGATGCAAATATTCTGTCGCTATCTAAATCTGTGGAACATCATTTAAGTTCGCATTCTCAAAAACAACGGAAGAATCATATGTATCGAAGTTGGATATGGAAATATTGTACACAAAAAAGTGATTTTGTGATGAGGTGCAATATTTGTCGCAACAATTTAACTCTTTCTGTTGTTAATTATCTGAATTCTCATATAAATATCCAACATTCGGACAAATTGAAAAGTACGCAAGAGACGCACGACACAGTTGGTTCATCAGAACGCGTTTCATCACTTGAAACGGACGCAATGTCTGTGTCACTAAAAGATTGTTATGTATTGTTAACGAAATGTCCACCTTATAATCTTTACATATAAAAAAATGTATGAACAAATTTTTAATTTCGAAAAAAATACCGAAGTTTACACGGATCATCAATCAAGAATATACTTTGCATATTTCAATTCATTGGCGTGAAATGCTATTTTTTTTTATAAGAATGTTTTGTTATCTAAAGATTTAAAAGATTATTTACGCTCGTATTATAAAGAACAAATTAAAAAAACATACGTTTCAGAGTTGGCTATATGGGAATGCCAAAAGTAATGGTTTTGAAGTAGAGTATTATTTGTAGATTAATTTCACAGAAACATGTCTGTTGATATAATTTAATTTCAAGTATTTAATTTATATAATATAATTTTTTATATATTTTCACGTATGTTTATATTTTTTTATATATTTTCACGTATGTTTATATTTTTTTTATATACTTTCGTTATTTTTTTGTACTTTATATAATATGAATTTACTATTACAACTTCTGTAAAAGTCTCCGAATATAATACATTAATTGTCGGTGAAATATATCAATTTAAATTTTAAAATTTGTTCGAGAAATGTTTATATATGATACATGATACATCATAATACAAATAAATTCATCATAAAGGAATATATCATTTTATTATTTAAAGATAGAATATTGTAGGAATTGTTTGTTCTTGCGTCAATCACGTGCGTCAGTTCGAATTATTCGATACTATACATTTATGTAATAACCTAATCACAAGTTTAATTAATTTTTACACATTTTTGCACGTGAATAACAGCACTTGTGTTAAATTATTGAAATTACTATCATTCTAGAATTGAACTTAAAAGGCGAAATTTTTGACTGATTTCGTGGCTTTTGCTACAGATTTATCAAAAATCAATTTTTTCTTTCGTGCAATAAATGAAATGTATAAAATCTCGTTGTATGTATTACGATTTGTCGCGATTTCTAAACGGTTATCGCAATGGTTCATTGGTGTGGAAAACCTGTTCGGCGACCCGTAACACCCAGACGAACGTATCAGACGAATCATAAATTCTCGTTTAATCTAGAATTATTCATAGACCGGGGATCACGAACAGTGCGCCGAGCACAAGGCACGTGTCGCGCTGTGTGGACGAGTCTCACCTAAAGGCGCACAGGTGCTCATATTTGCATCCGATAGTTTAATATTTAAGCATGTCAAATCTTGTAAAAATTTTGTCAAAAAATTATAATTACGTCATAAATTAATTTACAAAATAATTATTAATCCCGCGAATTAATTTCGAAGAAGAATAAGCTAACAGTAAATAGCTCGTCTTTATTTTAATGCTATCAGATTAAAATGAGCGTAACAATACATTCTCTTTATGCAGGAAATTTGAAGATTAGAAGAGCATAGTTTGCTGATTGTAATCATGCGCTGCTTCAACTATTTAGTGAACTATGCGCAGCATTGTCGTGAAGTATTACGGCGAGTTCATACAACCGCAAAGAGTTAAAAAGTTTTAATTTCTAAAAAGTTGTTACATACATAATTTCCGGATATAACAACCCCTGCACTTATATACACGAAATAATGGTTTTACAACGGTTTTATTTGTGGCAAGTTAATTAGTGTTAATAAATTGCGGGGGATTAAATGAATTAAGATCAAAACATCAATTAAATAAATAAATAAATAAATATAGGCATTACACTTCCAGCTGATAATAATAATTTTGTCATTATCATGATAATGCGCAATTAACGCAATCTCGAAAATTAAATCTGAACGTTTCGCTCAAAGCTGCAACACTCTAACGAGCCGCTTTTAAGTTCCCAAATCAATCATAATTATCCGATCACTTAGTCACTATGTATTCTTCCACGAAACCATTCAGCATCGCATTAAAGTTGGCAACCGCCGTGTGCGGAACACACGCACAGCGCCCACACGCATGTTAATTCGCGTGCCGAAGGAATCGGGCCGCTTACTTCTGATTAGAGTGTCGTGAGACACGCATGTACATACGCATGTATACAGAGTGCTCGCGATCAATCTCACTTCGCTCGCCTTCTCCCGCTCGCCTTCTCCCGTTCGCCGTTGCCCGATAAACTGACTCATCCGAGCGGCTTTGTTATCTCGCAATTTGTTAATAACGCGAGGCAAACTTTTTCTCGTTTATCGGCAGAAAAATTCACTCGGAATTCCGCCCGCGATTCTCCAACAATGCGGCCGCTCGATTGTACACACCGTGTATATACGTAGCGCGCCTAATCAGGCGGCATGATATACGCGTCGGAAAAGCAATGAATAAAGTGCGGACCAAAGATATTATTGGCAGGTGCGAGCTTTAAGTAACGATTACGAGCTGTTCGGGCGGACGAGAGATTAGAGGTTGCCGTCGGCGGCGAATTTTCGCGGAATGTAAATCCATGTATCCGTTACTCCGCGCCTCGGTGTGGCCAGGCGTGCGAATCGAGAGCGCGATTAATTGACCGTCACTTATATCTCCGTCGGGAGTCAAGTGGGTTAATTGAGATCTTTCGGTAAATGGGACGGCTTTAATGAGTAACCAATGACAAAATTAATCGCCATTATTTTTTCACGATCGCTCGACAAAGCGCTCGCGGCTTTTCCACGATTCTGTAATAACCATTAATTTGAGAAAATTGTTACGCTATCCCCGTGATTTCAATTATGCTCCTTTCAAATCGGTAATTTGCAGCTACCGCGCTCGTGTGCAACGAGCAATATTTCACCGTATGACGATTGATAATAATTATCGCAGCGTTTTATTCCTGATATACGATTATTTTGAAAAAAAAAATGTAAATGTTTTTCAATTTAATTTTAAATAACATACTTTTCAAGTGAAATATTGCTGCCAATTATTAATCATTATTGCATATTTTTTACGGATTATTGTTGCTTTTTTAACCGTTCAAGTGCCAGGAAACGCGCGTTTGCTGTTTCATGTCGAAAAGTGTCAGCGAGCGCTGCAATAAGCACTCTGAATGTTAGAAAACTAAGTTAATCTTTTAATTGTATGACAAATAACTTACTGATATCTTTTTATGTGAACGGGAGAAGCACATTTTCGTGCTTTTTGCACGCACTCTTGCGACACTGAAACGCTTTTATCGACTTTTCGCGCAGCGATAATTTACGGTTGTCACCGATATCCTGCACATTCTGCTGACAGGTGATATCCCAATTGACGTCGTCATCCGACATCGGCGCCTTCCAGGGCGACGAGGCTGTGGACGGTTCCGGAAGCGGGGACAGTCCGTCGTGGAGGCAACACGGCGATACCGACGACGACGAGGACGGTCACGGCGATGATCGCGACGACGACGAGGCGTCCGGTTCCGGAATGGGTCCCACGACAACGGGTAACTGTATTCCGCAAGCCACACCGCATTCCGCATTGATTTGCATTTCGATAATCCGGCCGATATATTCCTGGTGGCGAGTTCTATTGTTGGATGAGTTCTGTGTACCGCGCGTATCGAGTATCGTTATTCGTAATGGAACTTCGGCCCGAGGCTGGTTCCGCGTATCGAATAGCATATTATTCGAGAACGCGTTTATAAAAGACCACAGAACACAGAGACATCTTTCACGAGGAAGTGTTGCAGAAACGAAATAAGTTGCAAATTAATTGTGCAAAGTAACGCGCGAAGTGTTCCAATATTTCTAAAAAAATTTTTCTAATTTAAAACATACGACGCGAATCAAATATTATCGTGAGCGAGCGTGTTTCAACAAGTGATTCCAACATTTTTGTTTAAAATTAAATAAAATCAAAATATCTATTGTTATAAAAGATGAAAAAGCAACTGCAATTACGGAACATTGAAGTAAACAAAACTATTCTTATTTTATCTGCAAATATAGTAAAATTCTTTTTCATTTTCATCGAAATAAAAGGAAAACAAATTTCTTCTTTGTTTATCGAGAAATATATTTTTGATAAAGCACGTTTTGTTTCAGATCCGTCGGTGAAGATCAATGAGAACGTGGACAGCGGATCGCCGACAATCCTGCTATCATTTGTCGCCCACGCCACTCTCCTCGCGTCGCGTATCTTTTAATCGGCCGCGCCACTAGAACGAGGAGGGGGCGGGGGGGGGGGGGCAATCGCGAGCCACGGCCAACGTTGACGATGTAGATAAGGAAAGTTAGACTAGATTTTATCGCGGTTGAGCGGTCGTATAGCGGATCGCGCCGATTCGTTTCGCGCGCGGCATTCTTCCAGCGCGTGAACATTCGACGAGGAGCGCTTTAGCGCCCGCCGCGAAATCCTATATAAAGCTGTTGATAATTTATCGGTGACGTGTCGGGCAGCGAAGCGAACTGTTTCCCGCCGCGGTCCGCCGCTCGCAAGGACGTGGTGGTTCTCAGTGATATATCGATGCGCGGGAAATGAGAGAGAGAGAAAGCGAGACAAATAAAAGTATACGAGGGCGGGAGGGAGGGAGAGAGAGGAGGAACGTATGGCGAAAACGGAAGGAACCGAAGGGAGCGATGGGCGAGCCGCGTCTTGAGACGTCGCGCTTGTAAGACGCGACAATAAATCTCGCGATGCTTCCGAGGTGAAATTTTCCGGCGGAAACGCCAGTTCCGCACGTAGAAATCGATACCGCGGAACTGGACCGTGTTAATACTCTCCTCTGACGGTTTTGAAATCTAAATAGCACTCCTTCCGACAGTTTATATTCGCGGAATTGTTTAAAATCGGCGGATTCCTTTCGTTTTACGATATGAAACATTCAGCCTTCTCACTCGAAGGGACATCAATTCTAGCCTCGGAATATCGTGACGTAATATATCTGAGAAGTAATACATTATCGCCCCCAGAGTTCGAGTCCAAGAGCCCGAAAAGATTGCAGGTCAGTATTTCTACTTTTTTTTTTTTTTTTTTTTCCGAAGGAAATTTGTGATTTTATTTTATTCAGAATTACGTGAGAGAAAGAGAGAGATATCGCCGCAGGCAAAAAGTTATTAGCGAAAAAATATTACGTTGTCATTGCTCAAATTTGCAAAGAAATCAATTGTGCGAAAACGCGATAAGTCACGCAATAAAGTCACTGGCCAAAGCTGAATAATCGCAGTCCATTTAGAGAGATGCCGAAAGCAAGCGTTATTTTACTGACTTTACGCACGCTTCCTCGCAGCGAAGTCGCAAAACGTATTAGGCCTAAAATCGCGACCCCCCCCCTCCCCTCTCCCCCGAGAAGATTTTTCGTCTCGAACAAGAGTATTCGCGCTGTGTTAGTATTACATAAGAATGCAGGATGGTCGCGGCAGCCATCGATCGCCGGACACGACTCCTCCGATCCGAAGGCCGACGAGTCCGCTATCCGAGTCCGAGTTTGTTTTTCGCGAGAGGGGAAAAGTGTGTCGCACGTGGCTCTGAAAAGCGGCTTCGTCGTCTCCACTTTGTTGTATCGGGGTGTACATTTTGTTAGTCGCGAATTGACGAACGAGTCGACGGACGAGAGCGCGCCTGGGGAAAGACTGTAATTGTAACGGGAGGATTCACGGACGGAGAGAAGCTGATGGTGCGCCGATGATTCCGATAGATAACCGGTAACGAAGCCCGTATTCTCGCCCCTATATATAAGCGGCATTAAGCGCCAAACGTGACGGTTCGACCCACATTACGGATCCAGGATGATTAGACGTCTTGGTTGGAATTTTTTGACGTGAAAGTACCTCGCCTTTCAAGCTTTTCAAGCTCCCTTCGCCAATCGCGAAGATCAAAAAATTATAGAATTGAAAAAAAAAATACGTTCCAATTTTTTAACGCGTGGATCGAACGTTTTTTTTTTTTTTAGCACTGCTGAGGTGTTTGTAGTAGAATTTTAAAAAAATTTTGATTCCTACTTTTATATTTCTTTTTCCCAGTTGATCTCTGCCCGATATCCGGTTACTTGAACGAATTAAAAATACATTCGGTATCCACACAAGATTCGCACAGTCACGTTCGGTGCCGAATGCCAAGCGAGAATACGTACGAAAGTATTTTACCTTCACTTCCTACGACTCGCAGAAGTCGTACGGATATCGTCACTCACGAGCCGATCGGCCGCAAATTGCGCGGCCGTACCAAACAGCAGCTACGTTTAGTGTGCCTCGTATTTCTCGCGCGCTGTTTTCCGGTTTTCTTTTTTTTCTTTTCTTTTTTTTTTTTGTATAAAACAGAAGAAAAAGTGTCTTTTTCGCCGGCGACGTCGCCGCGCTTAGTCGTTCGCAGCACGTCGTCGCCGTCGTCGATGTTATACAGATTATTATAAAAAAAATGACGAGGCGGGGAAAACCATAATCACCCAGCGTCGGTGATAACGCGCATGCCATATATACATATATATATATTATATACGTAAAGTTAACTGCCAAAAAACGCCAGTTATACGCGAACAAAAACTGATTTACTCGCGCGGCGATTATTGCTCGCTACGAGATCCTTGAGTACTACAGAGTACACTATTGCGCGATGCGTGTCCACTCTGCGCGTGCGTATATATATATATGTACTTCTGTGATTTATCTTCCACTTTTCCTTCCTAGAAAAAGGGGCCTTCTTAACGCAGCCAACAAATTAGCCGAACGACGTCGAAACGGAAAGAAACGCGATTCGCTCCCGCCACAGCACTCTTCGATTTAGTAGACTGTTCGTAATTGCCGTAAATTCTAAGATACATAAATACGTAATCGTTTTAGATTGTAAACCAATCTCGAAATCATCGATTGTGGATCGTTCGACATTCGCCAACATAATCGGCACGTTTTTTTTTTCTATTTATTAAATACATATTTTGTTATAATTTCAAATCAGAGACACAAATTAAGTTGAATGAGATTATATTTTTACTTTTTCAGCTTTTTAACTTATAATGAAATTTAATTAATAGTGACAGTTTTGATTTATACATATCTTTTCGCGGCACAGTGCACAGCAACGTTAAAATGATTTGTTGCAAAAAAAGTCGCATCGTGCGTGACAATTGCGAAAGGTATTAAATTCGACGACAGCAGCATGACATATTTTTATATCATCTTGCGTGTTCTCAAAAAAATGTGTCTATTTATATTCAGGACCGATATAACGAACTCGATCAATAGTTGAGCGCGATGACGATTTTGCTCGTTGCAACGAGTCACGTGAGTTTTCGCAATCTCGTCGCTGTGTTAGCTAACTATTAAAAGTAACCAACGTGCCAAACCAGCGCGCCTCTCTTCCCGCTAACGAACAGCCCGTTATAATAACGAACGCACAAATTAATTGTAATTAATGAGACCGAGAACAATCCTGGGATATTGCGAGTTTGATACGTTCCAACCGAAAATTGCTTTACGCGCGGTAAACATTGGATTTGTCCTTTTGAATACTTTTGCGAAGTATTTTTAAGTAGAGAATTTTTTATTTTTCAAATTTTTTTCTAATAATGATGAACTTTTATTCTATTTTTTTTATGTTTCTCACGATTAATTCAGTGATAATTTCGGTGATTGATGTCATTGTCGATGATCCACGATCGATGAATTCGATCTCGAATCTTTGATGCTGTTTTTTAGCACCCAGAGCGTAACCATGACTAAGCGCAAGATCTTTTTTGGATCGATACCCCAATCGTTCGCAATAGTACTCGTGATACGATAATATTAACCGATCGACTTGTATCCGACTATTAAAATTAGAAATTTATCGCGTCGTTTTTGCGCAGAACTCGTACATTCAACTCGAGGGGAAAAAAAATAAAAGAAGATCGAAAGCGAACCGCTTCCAATGTGTGTTACACGCAGTTGGGATCGAGGAACTTTTGAGAAACCAACATTCTCATGGCGAGACGTGCAATTAAACCTGGCGGTTTGCTTCAGTCAATCAGGATAATAGAGAATCCAACGATGATTACGGCATCGTGATAAAATATTTTCCCGTCGGAATAATGTTAACAACTGTGAAGAAAAGATAATTTTATCTTTGACGATTTAAATAATTGTAAATTATTTCTATTAGTGTTCTCATGATAATCGCCTTGTGCCGAATGGTAGAATAATTTACTCAACGTCGCATCTTTATTCGCATAGTTGAAAAATCCATCGCCATTATTAAGCTAACAATGTCGATTCATCCTTCGTCTCAATTATCCTGAGTGGCTCTGTGTCAGTTACTGTAAGAAAGTAATGTAGCTAGTGAACAACGGGATACCATTTGGTTTCTCCGCGAATGACGGCCGCGCGAGTCGCGACGCTACGGCGACGCCGTATTCGTCTTGTACATTTGATTTTCGGATCTTTGAGGAGGGTTGAGTGCCTTTCTGAATATCCCTGGCCGTAGCGTCGCGTCGTCGCTCCTCCGGGACGAGAGGGGGAGAGCAACTAGAGCGGCCGTCCGCGAATAAGGGCGCGAAACCGGGCACCTTCCCGGTAATAGCGTGCGCGTGTGTATGCGTGTGTGAGAAAGAAAGGAGCAAAAAAGAGCAGGACTTTCTTCTTCTCCTTTTGTAATTTCTTGTGCCACGTATTCTCGCCTCTAACGTTTCCACGTGAACTCTACGAAGATATCTCGCAGGTTTGTAAACGTTTACCCTACATCGTTAAGATAACACACTGGGCGAAGGAGCGGGATCGCGAGTATATTTAGTGCGGATGAAAATTGAAAGTGACGAAAATGTGGTGAGATAATTCTAGAATGAATGACGATTATTACTGATTCGGTCATTAATGGGTCTTTCGGAAGCTTTAGAATATATATATCTACTGTATTTAACATAAATATTTAATATATTTCTCTATCTATTTCGAACGATTTTTCTATAAGTTATAATAATATGCTGCACGCGCTAATTTTACTTCCCGAGATTTCGGGAACGTAAAGTATTACATTCGGGCGGCGAAGATCGAAAACTTGACGATCTCTATTTCTTTCCAAAGAATTCTAAAAATTAAAGAAGCATTGCGCAATGTCATCCAAAAGAATCTAAAAGACTCGACGCCTCACAGTAGGGTTTAATAATAATTATCAATGCTGCGTCACGGTGCTAATGAAAGCCAAAATTAAAATAATTTATGCGCAAAAATAGACCTTGGATGTTATTAACAATTTAATTATGTATCTGCGAGTTATTTATGTACGATGTTTTTTTTTTATCGATCTGCTGCGGATTTCGAATATCGCTCCATCGCGTGTTTAGATAATAAGCGCATTGTTGCGAAATTGCCCGTAATTAGAGAAATTCGGCATTCGAGCCCGTTTTAAATTGCAGTTTCAATTGGATCACTTAGATCCATTGAATCGGTGAACAACGGTGCACGACAGGTCCGATTCGCTTTCGTAATCGGACGCGCCATTGTTCGAGAAGTCCTTCCTTTCAGTGCGCTAATAAGATCGAAATCCGGTGAGAGCGGGCGGACAGGCGAGATCGCCGGCGGCGATGCCCGGCGATCTCGTCGCTACGGCAAAGAGCCTAATTCAGCGTGGGCCAGGCGTGCAATTGTTCGAATTTACCGTCGTAATTCTTCAATTTCGTGGCGGCCTTTGTCGGGCAAATTTAGGCAGCGCATTCACGCGAGAGGACCGAGCGCGCGTAGGTAGATCGTACGCGCGCAGCTCTCGGTCCTTATCCGTCGATGCCGCGGGTCTTCGACCTCCGTCGATCGTCTGCTGATATTAGTTTCGCGTGACGCCGGGATCCCGGCGTGCAGGTATTAATCTGTCGCGGCGAAACGGTAAACGCATTTCGCGCCGCTCGGCGCGAGATCTGACGCGAGGCGCGCGACTGATATCAATTGTCCCACTTTATGTTGCTGGTATGTTATTATTAATATTGTTGGTACACAGCAGCTGCCACGCGTGCTTAACACGCTTGCAAAAATGTTGATTAACACGTTAAAAATGGTCTGAGTCGTTAAGTAATTGGAATTCTGTAAGACTGAAAGCGTTAATATAGAGCGATTTTCGTCTAACACAGCCCGCTCCTTCGCCGCTGAAATTATCGCAGCGCGAGAATGGAAGGAGAAAGGTAGGCGGATATGCTAAAGAGCTAAGAGGTATAATGTGAGAATGATGGAGAGAATGAGTGAAAAAGAAAGGAAACGCGCGTTGATCGATCTGTAAATATATAAACGAATGCCTGCTGTATTTATATAGTTATATACGTTAAATATATCGAACTAAATGAAAGTAGCAGCTAATAAAGCAACTAAAGTAATTACCGATGAATTAACCGTTAATTATAGCGTTACAGGGAGACTAATTACTGTAATACGCGTGCAGGAAGTATGTGCGAAAGAATGCGAACGCGAGAATGCGGAAGAGCGCTCGTCGACGAGTGATCGACGAAACAGCCGAACTTTTCGTCAAAGTCGGATCGCATGCCTCGTCGTCGTTATTGCCATTTGCCTCGTAGCGAAGCGATTTGCCCTTCTTACCAAGGTTTTTATTTCACTCGTTTACCTAGAAATCGCGGAAAACGCAGCGACGGTTGAAAACACACGCGAACGATCATGGAATCGTTTAAATCCAATCGCTTTGTAATTATACCTATGTAATTAGAAATTGAATGAGAGAGAAAGAGAGAATTGTGTGTGTGTGTATAAAGAGAGTGAAAGAGAAAAATATTTCGATTATGCTGTATAACAATTATTAGCCTAGTATGACGCATATTTTATCGTACACGCACTAACAGAATCCGCTGTTTCCTACGGAACTATCGCGTTACACACTTAGCTATTTAATGCGTTTTTGCAATATTTATTGTTGCGCCTTGCGTTTATTATGTGATATAGGGCTACTTATATTATTATCGTCTACTTTGTCGCGCGCTTGTTCAATTAATTTGCTGATCGCGCGCGATACGACACGAATTATCCGACATTGTCGGACGGGAAACGAGGAGAGCAAATTGACAAAATTTCGGCTATTCGCATCGCCAGCGATCGATCGTCGCAAATTTGTTCAATTAATCATCAATCGTCAGTTGATTATAAACTGATTATACAATCGCGTCGCGATTGTAACTAATTAATTTCTCAATGGCATATTTAAGTTTCTATCGATTCATAATAAAGCTAACTTCGCCTGTCTGGATTCTCAATTTCGCGACCCGATATTTTTGATCGTGCCTCTTTTATCGATCTTTATGTGAAAATTAATAAAAAATAATTCCAAAGAAGCCAGATATGATTTCGTTAGAGAAGCGAAGGTGCAGTGTACATCGAATAGTTCCGATCAGATTAGTTCCACGATTAAATCACTAAGCGAAATTGGGAAAGTGAGTTAATAAAGCAAATGAAAGCGAAAGAAAAGTGTAGCGAGAGATGAAAAACATGATCGTGAATAATCTATATATGTATATACATGTGTCTGTGCGCGTATTTTATATACGCGCATTCTTATATATATATATATATATATATACATACACACAACATGTGTGCGCATAGAACGTACGCGCGCGCGCGTGTACTATAAGTGTTATACGAGAGATTAAACAAATTATTATTATTAATTATTATCGCAGTTGATTACGTCGCAGTGGCGCGTCCGCCGATCGGCGACGACCTGTAAAAACTGTTTATGAGTGAATGGCGAATAAAATATTATACAACACCACGTCTACGTGTTGATGCATCCCGTTATCAAGAATAGCTGCAAGAAGAAACACTCAGAATTGTTGATGTTAAGAGGACACGATTTGGCAGACGCGAATTAAACTTCGTTGTTGAAATTGAAAAATGCATATCTTTCTGTACATTTTATATCAATTTTTATCAGTGATGAGTGTTTTCCGAAGTCAAGAATCAATATTCTTGAAACATTTACTTAAACGTAATTTGTTTTCCAATATGTAATGGATAATCGTTACCTATTAACAAAAATAACGTTAAAAACATTTCAGAAAGTTCACCGTGTTCAACTAATTACAGCGTTAAAATAGTTAAAAGTTTAAATTATTCATAATATATCTCGTTTCTCCAAGAATCTCTGTTCAAAAACAGAAGTACTAATTAAAATGATAAATAATTATATTAATAGCTATAAATTTTGTAGATGTAACGAACGGGACGAGTTTCTGTCGTCTTTCGCAGATTCTTTTGTTACTGTCGTGAAAATCAGTAAAATTTTCAATGAACATTCGTGTTCCACTTGACATCGTAATGGTTTATTGCTGCTGTAATAATTACAAATTATCTGCACTTTTATCACATAATGCGTACAATATAAAGATTTTTGTAACATGGCAAAATCAATAATGTTACGTCCCTTTTGAAAAACTTTCTGTCAGTACAATGTGTGCCCGTCGCAGTACGATGTGTATTTGCAAAGTGTGACTTATTGTCGTCGTAGTATAAACATCATTCGAACAATTGTTGGAAATTTACAATGAGGTGCTCTCTATCGAGCGTCCAAGCTCTATTTTTCAAATCAGGTCTTTATACGGCACAAATGGACAGTCGAACGTATGAAATTCCTAGACATTCTATACATCGTGTTACGATTTTTTTTTTGACAAAGTATAAAAATCTTAATTATTGTACCTTAAAGAAGACGTATTTTTGGAGTCCATTCAGAATTGATTGTGTGCCCGATTGAATTATATTGTTATTCTGTTTCTGCATTAACATTTGAATTCTGCAGAAATTATTTTCGTTCCTAGTTTACTCTATCGAGTAATTGTTGCCGAAATCCGACTTTCGAGAGACATACATACATGTTCACATTAATATAACTACATCCTCTGTATTTTTATTTTATAAACTTTCATATCTTTTCTATGTAAATCTTCGTATTTCTCGTCTCTCTTTCTCGGAGATATTGCTACAACAGCTTTTCTCAGTGAACCATGTCCTCTCTCAGCCTGACGATTATCGTTGTCAAAGATCTCGTCGTTACCGATTATTCCATCTTCCGTCGTGCCAGTGTCCGATAACAAAACCGACGTTTTCGCAATTTTAATCGTCCGAATTACCCTCTCCATCTAACTTTTTCCGTTCACTGCCGGGAACTTCGTCGCAAGTGATAACATCATTGTCGATAAGAAGAACGATTGAATTGCGCGACGGTTGTGCGCGAGGCTCTCCTTACTCGGAGTCGCGCTCGCGAGCGCGCTTGAGGAACGTTTTGAGGAGCTTGATCAGATTCTCGATGCCTTCCAGATAATTCAAATCCAAACCGGTATCATCTTCCGCTGGGAAAACGTGTGTGAAATCGATCATATTCACTCGTACCCAGCTGCAGTTGTCGTCCTTTTCATCCGTCGGAGCATCGCGATTATTCGTCATCGCGTCGTTGACGTTGTTCGCGTCTGCGTGCGCAAGCGAAAACTGACTCGGACAGGATCGACAAATTTGCTCCACCTGTGGCGGATTGGAAGACCCGCTCTGATCCGACACCTCCTCGTGCGCTATCGACACGAGTCCTTTGTTGAGACTTACGCTCCTTTTGAGCATCGGTCTATGCGCCTCTAGGGTAGCCTCCGAGTTCTGCTCCTCGCTAATATCCGCGTTCGACTCCTCCAAACTCGCCGACGGGGAAGAGGCAGATCCAGTTCTAGAAGATTCCATCGGGTCGCTGGAATTTTCATTGTTCAAACGACATTGCTGCCGCAATGGTTGAGCATCGTAGGCGACCAGAAGCGAGCTGGAGTAGAAGCGGTACTTCCGCTGCATGCGGAAGAACAAGATGATCCTTCCCAGGACTGACAGCAGCTCCACGATCAACCGTTGACTGGCCGGTCTCTCAGGTGTTATATTCAAGAAAGTTTTCATCGCTGCGTGAGGACAAGAAGAAGGATTTTAACGCGGTTCCAAATGACGGGAAGCTTAATGAAGTCTTATCGCTAAATCGCACGATATATCGCAAAAATCCGTCTTTTCGTCGCATTATCGACGTAAAGTGCCCGAAATAACTACTAATACTGACTCTAGAACGTCGACATGAAATTGTTATTAATTTAACGACAGTATGATTTAATATATAATACCAGAAAATTACACGATGCAAAAAGAAAATGGAATACAGTATGAATTAAGTCTAATTGTTGAAATAAAATTTTTGGAGGCATTAACGAAATTGCGTTAATAATTCCTGTCAACGTTCTAGAGTCGAAATCCGTTCTACTAGTATCCGCAAATTGGAATACATGAATTTTTCGATTTCCGACCGATAATCAGTGAATTAAAGAGACTTAGCCTTAGCCGTGCTCGAATCGGAGGCGGGCAACTCGTTATCTCGGTTATTTAAGAAAACTCACTACTCCCTACGTCCTGAAATAAACTTTTAGTATTCATGAATCATTGGATTCATTTGTTTAGCACCGGAGATGACAGTTATTTTTTTTTCTTATCGACTTCGTATGTCTCCTAAAACTCTAAAGCAGATACCTTCTACGACGCCCATGGCATCGAGTTTCTTGCCATAATCTCTGTCAAATTTTTTTAATCGTCCAGTGGAGAGACAATATACTTGAAAACCGGTTATACAAAAACCATAAGCACGCTTCGATTCGGCATACTTGAATTCTTCCGTTGCCCTCTTCTCTGGTGTGGCTAAAGGATCCCACGTGCGGCGGCCGATCTTGATATCCATCACACATGGCTCGGCCATGCCCTCCGTGATATCCTTAAGCGTGAGAAACTTCGTACCTGTCATCGGTTAATAACGTAAGTCGAAACAATGACTAATAACGATTGGACGGGATCTCAAAAAAAATTATTATCCGTCCGATTAATTCATTAATTCTTGTTAATAATGTTACGTTTTATATTATATATATTCTTCTTTCAAAAGTTAAATGTTATTTTAATTAATTTACAAAAAATATATTTAATCTGGCAAAGAGAATCCTTACGTTTGTTAAAGACTCGTAGTTCTGTCGTGCCATAATAATGTGGAACGAACTGTTTTAGTTGCGCTATCGTGGGATCTCGAGACTTCGTCAAGTTCTCGTAGAACGCAATTTCTCTTTCCCCAATGATCGCTTTAGTCGCCGGTTTCAGTACATGTCTAGTTCGTTTGCAGACCAACATGCCTGCGATCACAAACAATTTTTCATAAAATTATCTAATACATACAAGCAATGTAAATAGTATCGATAAATATATTTACTAGTATATTTAACTGATATAAAACTCATCATTAAACTAATATAAAAAATTTTTTATGTCTTTATTTTACAATCAGTATCGTAATGCGCGAAAGTATTTCAAAATAATAATCTGTACAAATGTGTAGGTCGACCATATTAGCACTTGTACACAATATAAACGAAAACACACACGCAATACAAATAAAAGATTAAAGTAATCAAATCATTTCAGAACTAAATCAAAAGCGAATAATCAAATATACCACTGGTATGTCGCTAATATTAAAAAATTCTAAATTATTGTCAATAAAAATTCTATTATTTTACACATATATATACATATGTTAAAGATAAAAATATTTAAATTTTAAACAAATTTCACCTTTTGAACAGTTCATATCTCAATTTTAGCTAAAAAAAATAGAAAAGTCAAGTTTAGAATTTATATTCTCAATATACTAAAAAATTTATATCAATTTCATCAACTTTATCACAAATCTCAAGTTTTCCTGTCAATTACTATGCTTATCATACTTTGTTGTACTTATATTAACTTTATTATAATTTTAAATTTTGCGCGGAAGTGCGAAATTTTACGGATTAGATTTACCGATTGTGTGCTTTTCGCCATTGAAGGGATGTCCGGCCATTTGACACCTCAGCGGGCTCAGTCCTTCGGAAAACGTACACCCAGACGATCCGGAGGCCGTACCATCCCATTCCACGTGCAGCAGCTTATCGAGATGACTCTCATCTGACTGCGATTCTAGGGTCGTCATAATTAATAACGGACGTGCGGCGATGATTATCTCTGCAATTAAACGGTCGCGCGATTCTCGTAGATCTCATCAAGTATTCAAATCGACGCAATTATGTTAAATTCCTATTTCGATACCGTAACAGTGCAAAAATAATTAACGTTATTTCGTTGTTTGTTATCTTAATAAATTTTCCATTTTTGCTCCTAATGCTGTTTCGCCAAATGCAACGATCGAAATAAAATTTTCGCGTATCGCGTATCGCACGAAAAATGAAACTCACGAATGACTTCAAATTAAAATACTCCTAATTATTGATTTCTTAATTATCGCGCGCTAATTATCGAATTCTTAATTATCGAACGTCCGTCTTCGCGCAAGTTTCACAATTCGAAGAAGTGGCTGTTTTGCTTCGAAAATTTACATTTCTTTCTTTTCCCTATCCTATTTATTTTTTCACCTCTTATCTCATCGTTAGTTTATTTATCTCAAAACAAACATTGACAAGAGCGCAGTATCGATGATTATCGCAAGAACATAAAATAACAAAAAAGGTTATTTTTCAAATAAAATCGACCGGCTGTAATCAATTTTCAAACATCGTAATCGCGTTATTGTCATCACGGAAGCGCTTTGTCCTTCATCGCGTGATATTGTTATCAGAACATACGTTATACAGCGTCTTCTATAAATACGCTGCTTATTACGATCGAATGATGTCGATTCGACTTTCGCGCTCATACGAGCCGATGATCCGTAACGAAATTTACGTTTCCCTCGCGAAACAATTTTCAGCAAATCGAATTGTTGACAAACGAAATCACGAGTGATCAGATGATCGTCGGGATAAATGCCACGAGATAAGCGTGACGTTTCCGAGTATCTTTGAGATACACGGAACACTCATCAACATCGTTGAGTCATCAAGATGAATCGCGCAAACTATACCGTTGAGAAGATAACTGTTTTATAATGAAAAAAAAGAAAGAAAAAAAGATTTCAGTAAAAAAAGAACAGAAAAAGAAAAAGAGGTGCCTAACCTCACTCTTTTTCTTTCTTTGTTCTCCTCTGCCACTCTTCTCTCGTTCTATCTTTCTCTCTCCTTTCTTCGGTCGCTCTTATCACTCGCGCAAATGTTCCGCGTGGAAATACATAACAAAAGATCGATATATTAACCGTACACACTCTCCCTCTCGCTCCTTTCTTCGCTTTCTCTCTCTCTCCCTCTCTTTCTCTCTGGCTTTCAGGTTATTACCCCGATCTTACGCACACGTTACTATAACCTATATGGCGAGTGCGGCGATAACGCGCGATAATCACACATAGACGACAGGACGTGTTCTCTTTCGCTGTGTGAAAATACCAGGATAAACTACGCTTTCCGATGCTCTCCAACGACTGCGTTGTATTGCATACGCTTCGTCACGACACCATTCCGTCGTGTATGTCCCACCAGTGTTGCCAGAACGTACAAAAATTTTATACTAGTTCATTACCAACAAAGTAGCAAAAAATTTCCAACTTCAGTCTAATGGTCAATTCACATCGCGTTCTAATCTGAAATATCAATATCTAATAGAAAATGTTTTCTATTGGAAAGATTTCAGCTGACATTTGGTTCGTAAACACATCAAATCTATAAAAACAAAATCGCGAAGACAGGGGAGCTTTGATGATTTGTTATAAAAACAAAGTGTAAGTTTATAACCGTTTTATAAATGAATGTACGAGATTATTCAATTAAATTAACAATCCATTTTTTTTGCAATCTACCTCAAATATAACTGACAACGATTGTCAAACTGTCAAGTTTAATTTTCGACTTTAGCTTGTGTTAAATCAGCATTTATAAACATTGTTTATAAACAGTGGGTGATTATTCGCAGTTGTTTTTTTAATTAAACTATATGATTTTAAATCTTGGATTAAATAAATAAGGTATGTTATTATTTGAAACTTAAATAAAAATTTATATTTATTTTTTAATATCAAAACTTTCTCTTATACTTTATTGTCAAAATAACGTGTACGCACTTTCAATTTATTAATATAGCCAAAATTCTTTAAACTGTCCATTTCATACACCTAGTATCGAGATGAGTACCTAGGCACTTTGTGCAGCAATATCTAGCACCACAGGGTATACATGTATAATTGCTAAGAAAACCGCATACTGCACAGAAATGTCTCTCTGGGAAGCGAGATGGTGGTACTTGAGCACAAACATAATTGGGTGGATTGGGATTTATATTCAGATCCTCCTCAACAAGTTGAGCGAAAGTCTTACGAAAGCGTTGTTTGTAATATTCAGCAGAGCGTGTTTTCTTTTTTCTAACACCTCTGCTGTCTAGTGTTTCTTGAAATTTTGGCGCTTTCTTGCTCATAACTAAAAGGAGAAAATCGGTTATACCTTTTATCTTAAAATATTGAAGAGAAGATATTTTTATGTCACACCTAAGTCAGCGTGTGGATCATCGTGAAAGTTATCTTGCTCTAAGGCTTCCAAGGCTTTCTTCTGTCTGCGCTTACGCGCAGCGTCGTCGAGGATTCTCTTCTGAATCGCATCTTTTATTCTACCAGATTCTCGAGCCATCTTTATTTCAACTTATAGTACTAAATCTAAGAAAGCAAATCTCGTCTTGTTCTGTTTATATTCCTTTCTCTGCCAGTGGGAATGATATCTGATCCATTAAGTCATCCACTTTTGTCTGTAGAATCTCTAATATATCAGCGGATATAAATAAGTGTCTCTCATCCAAATCTTGAATTATGAATTTCCTTCCCAATGCTGATGTTTCATCCAGATGTAGAAGAAATTGTTTCATAGCCGCATCACTGAACACATATTTTTGTACAATTATTTAATGTTTGCGATTTTCTAAACATATAGGAGCCATGTCTAAGAGAAAAGGTGTCTCTCTTGATGAGAAACGTCTGAGGATGCTACAACTCTTTTATGAGAAGAAGGAATTCTTTACGCTAAAAGAAATTGAGAAAATTGCACCAAAAGAAAAAAACATTGTGCAGCAATCTGTCAACGGCGTACTACAAGCGTTAGTAGATGACGGTTTGGTACGATCGGAGAAAATTGGCACTTCTGTGTACTTTTGGAGGTTTCCAGGGTAATATTGAGAGACAGTTATATTGCTATGTTTAAACCATAAATAAAATACTCAAAAAACATCTGTTCTACAGAGAAAATATCACTGCAACAGAGCACAGAATAGCTGATACAAACAAAAAGGTGGTTGAGGCTGAATTTAAGCTTGAAAAGTTAAAAGCAGAGATACAAAAGGAAAAAGTAATATGAAAATTAGTAACAAAATTATATTTAAGTTAAATCTAACATTTTCTGCTTAAGTATCTAAAGCATCTTTGTTTATTACAGGAATTGAAGAGTGACACAGAAGAGAGACAAACCTTACTGAAGGAAATCGAACAACTGAGAAAAGAAGAACAGGAAATAAAGAATCAAATTGCTAAATTCAGCGGTGTTGACCCAGAAGCAATTGCAGAAATGAATCGGAAAGCACAGGTGCAATAGCATTAAAATATATCTCAAAATAATAAATGATAATGTAACATAATATGAAACATTTTATAGAAGTACAAAGATGCAACCAACACATGGACAGACAACATTTTTGCTGTACAGAGCTGGTGCAAGAATAAATTTAACATCGTGGAGGAAGATCTCAATAAACAATTCAACATTCCTGAGGACTTGGATTATAAAGAATGAATCTCTCTTAATTAAGTTTCATATCCTGTTAACTGTCAAGAAATTATTTTTGCTATAAATAAACAAAAACGTACCATTCAACTAAAATGCCCTTCGTGACATTTACCATATCTCGTAATTATCCTCTCTGTATATATAATTAAATGAAGATGCCAGATTTACTTTTTCTTCAGATTTATTTGCTTTGGGACACAGAATCACACTACTACTACTACATTACCCGCGTATTGACGTGAAGAAACTTGGTGCACAAAAATTTCATAGAAAGGAAACATACGATGCGAAATGACTCGCATAATTTCAGCGCCATCTATAAGTATTTCCTTCATACTAATATACTAACCTAATCGAGTTTTATATGCAAATTTTAGACATAAACAAATTCAATACGTTATTAAAATAATATAATCAGAATAGAAATTGTCAAATCTTTTTGTTACTTTTACAAATTTATTCTCAAGTTGAAAATAATAATTATTAAGATTTATAAATATGCTAAGTATATTGACAAATTTATTAAAATAGAATTATTACTGCGATGTTTTTATCATTATGTACAGAGCTAAATACGAGCTAAAAAGATGTTATGTATAAGAGAATTAAAAAATAGGAATGAATATATAATGAAAATAAAAATTCGCGGCTGATTTTTGGCTGCCATCTAACGGCGCAAGTTTCACAAAGCATTTGTCCACGGTGGAGGTGCTGTGCATGCGTCGATTGCGTCAGATCGTAGCATCCCGAATTCGCGTTTGGAGCTAACCAGTGTTTCTGCATCGATCGACTGCTATTCACGGTCGGACAACAGGCCAGCAAACTACGATATTCCCAGGTGCACGTGTGTGAGACAGAAGTGCGCGGTAAGTACAGAGGACCGATGTGTCGACCATAAAACGTGTAGGCACAGTGCATGTGCAGCAGACAATCATGTCTTTTCTCTTCCGTCGTCCCACGTGTCCGTTCCGTTTCGCGCCTCCGCGAAATCCGATCCGAGTCGAGTCGCGCTGTCGAGACCAGATCACCGGAAATTCACGACTTCGGGAAACATGCTTCGGAAACATGATAGTTGCTGTGCGAAAAATAAATCGGAAAAAACCTCGTATTCCTTTTCTGTCTTTCATCCGTCAGACATCATTCGTCCGTCATTCGTCCGACATTCCTAATTATTCGCTTGAGCGCGTGAGACGAGAACGTGAGCAACTTATATAACTCGTGTCTAACCCTGGCCCTGAGCCAGCGCTAGAACGTCCCGATACATCGTTTTAAAGGTCGTGCGATATGCGAAGACTTTTATTCATTTGGGTCATCATCGCGTGGGAGAATTGCGGAAAATGCAACCGCGATATCGAAATTCGATTGAAATAGTTTTGCTTCGAGAGAACTTTTATGAGGAAACACTCGTCACTCGTAATCACTTGCCAATATCTTAATCTTTCGTTCAAATATCCATGTATTCTAATCTTTCGTATCAAATAACGTGTTATCGCTATCTGTATGATCTTGAAGAGGTCAAAAATCCTGATCTGAATTAATGAACAACGTGAATGGAATTCGTTCAAAGTACAATCTGAGATGCATGTGACTGCGTTATGACTTGTTAATCATTTTTCATTCATGCGAATGTAATTAATGACGTCTGGTTCCACGATAATAAGCTTTTTTTTTTTAATCAGCGATTTGTTAAATATATGCTTGCTTAAAATATCTTTATTGTTCATTCGTAAGCCACAGTTGTTTCGTTTTAAACGTGCTGCGAATGACGTGTTGCTTACGACATCTCCGAATGCATCATCATACATCGTGACATGTTTTGAGGAAAAATTTGATACTGTTACATCAGAGAACAAAGTGTTACACTATGTATTACTACAACATTACAAATGAATGTTGAGATAGAGAAAAATATTGCATATTATATGAGAATATTAATACGAAGGAATATTAAATTATATAATAGTTCGTCGTTATATAATTTTAATTGTCTTATCTAATTATAATAACCAAATTATTGCATAATTTCTAAATGTGACATTTATTATAAATATTTTTTAAAAATATTACAGACAAATTTAAATTTAGAAAAACTTTCTGTATTTAATAATTATAGATATCAAATTAAAGAAGAATTTTTGCTCTATGCGGTCAATGTTTGTACATTTTATACACGCATTCAACCGTAGCAAGATAAAGCGTGTGAAATTGTAGCTAAAAATATAATCTCCTAATGACGCCAATTTTTCGAAATCGCTATTGCGACACGGCACGAACTTATATCGATGATCCATCGAAAGGTTATCATTTATCGATAATTTCTTTAGTTTTTCAAAAGTCCACGAATTTTGAACTTTACTTGATAAATTCACTATCTGCTATTAATATTATTTTTAATATTATTTATTTTTATTAGAGATTTTATAGTAGAATTTCATTGAATAATAAATAATAAGTCATTTTTCGTGAAATATTTGTTAAATAATAAAAAATTATTTCTAATTACAATTCATAATTGAATATCTTTTTTTAGACTACACAATTAAACAAATATGGGTGTTCCGGCAGGCGATCCAGAGAAAGGAAAGAAGGTAAAGCCGAAAGTCAATAAAGGCAATACGATCGTACAGTAAACTGTACATTAACGTAATTGCGTTATTAACATTATTGATTAATATTTTTTTCTTCTAGATTTTTGTTCAAAGATGTGCACAATGCCATACGGTGGAGGCGGGTGGCAAACACAAAGTAGGTCCCAATTTACATGGACTTATAGGTAGGAAAACTGGTCAAGCTGCTGGTTTTCTGTACACCGATGCTAACAAAGCGAAAGGTGCGTATTTAAATTTAATCAAGACGATACATTTTCTGCAAACAACGCTAGATTCGATATTTTGTATTATGTACGACATTAATTGTGTATATCTAAAAATGTAGATCGAATCGTATCATATCATATACTACCTATTCTAATTCGCGCGTCACTACATTTCAGGTATCACCTGGAACAAGGATACCCTATTTGAGTACCTGGAAAATCCAAAGAAATACATTCCCGGCACGAAAATGGTGTTCGCCGGGTTGAAGAAACCGCAAGATCGGGGTGATCTAATTGCCTATCTAGAACAAGCGACAAAGTAGATATCCATCGCGTGTATTACGCTATGCGAAAATCGCGACGAACGTAAACGTGCGCGCGCGCAAAAATCGCTGCGCACAGCACGAGTCGCGACATTAGTACGATTGTCATCTCATCTTACATCTGTCATCTCATTTGTGTTCATACACATGGACTCTCCTCTCGATGGTACTCAAAGCGTTCGCAATATGTGTTCGGATAGTAATGAATTGTTATTGTTGATAAGTAGGTAATTGCAAGTATGTATATTGTGACACAGGGGTCGGGCTAGCACCGGCCCTGCTTTTTTTCTTCATCACACCGAAGATATTACTTTCTAAGGAGCGTTAACGCCCGCCATGCGAGTGGTTGAGCCACTCTTTCGCGGACTTCGCGTCCTCGATTATTTATTATCATTGTATCAATCTTATCATGCAGCAAGTGTTGATCTGTAAAAACGAAATACAGACTAGGCAATTGGAAATTTATACTTGTTATACTTTCTTGCATTTGCGCGCCAATTGTGTGAAGTTCTCGTCGACCGGAAGGAACACGATTAGATAAGAACGAATCCAAAACGCCATATGATTCCCGATATTCGAGTATTTACAATACGATTAATCGTTATTGATACGCTATGATTTTTAAGCGCAGATTAGATTACATAAGCGTCGAGTGTCCGAGCACTTTATCGCTTTCATGCTATTGTTACATGTTTTCCTTATCCTATTATTAGTCTCTCTTCCTTTACATTTCAGAATCTCTAAGATTGATAAAAGCAAAATAGGAAGGATGCGGTTAGCGCCGACAGGAAGTCTATGGTTCGTGGTTTTACCCAACTTTTCAAGCGAGATCTCGTCGCAGTAATTCTCAGTATACCGTTTTGTTTTAACGCGTCGCGATCTACATATTTGAGTAGTGTTTCAAATAGCATTAATTTAATTTAGCGTGTAAGTGATAATCGGAATTCAATGTCGTCTTCGATTTAATAACGCCTTCGATTCCCGTCGATGGCAATTGTTCGTGAAAAAATATCGATGTTTTGATATGAATTCTTCTAATTTCATACGCAAATCATCATAATTATTATTTCTCTCGTTCTCTCACTTTTCGACAGTGTCGAGTCTTTGTTCTAAAGTTCCGAGAGTTTTTTTCCGCGGATAATTATTTTACATTTCTAAATCTCTCAGAAATATTTCTGTATACAACATTAGCGAGTTATTGCACTTTAACGAATCGTCCTCTGAAAATTATGACGAGCAATTCGGAATTGTCCGATCGGGCATCATTAACAAGCGCTAACGACAGTTGCGTCGCAAAGGACAGAAGTAAGACGTGCTTGAGGCTGCGGTTGAATCGCGTGTTCGGCCCTTGCGGACCCAAGAGTCCGAAAAGTGTTTCACGTGGCTCGAGTCCGAATCGCGGTAGTTCACACGGTAAGGCAAGGTACTCATGGCAACCGGGGACTTCTGACAGCGAGGAGAACCGGTCGCCGCATTCGCCGAAGAGCAGGATCTCGCTCGCATCATCATCGTCGAAATCGTCTGAAAGCCCGTCGACACCGAAAAGTCCGTTTACGCCGAAAAGCCCGTCCACGCCGAAAAGCCCGTCCACACCGAAAAGTCCGTCAGTGCCGAAAAACTCTCACTCTTCGATATGGTACGTCGCTGAGAGGTAAGTCCGCGCTTTATTGGTCATATATATTTTTGCGACATCGATGTATTGTGCTATTATTGATGTATACATTGGGCATTTGTAAAAAATTGAATCTCCACGGTCGATCGGTTGAATTATAATTACCGGTAATACAAAGTGAATATTTTCATCGCAAATGACTTTAGGTCATTAATGCGCCACAAATAAAAATTTATTAATAAATATTATAATCGCCATTATATTTTTAATTTTTCAAATTCTGCGGAAAATAAAAAACTAATTCTTCGAAATATCAAATTAATTTTCAAACTTTAAAAGCTTTAAGAATTTAAGATCTCAACGATCAACTTTGTTTTTCTCTTTCTCCTAATTTTTATCCATGAATGTAGCTTATCTATGAATGTAGTTCTGTCAAATATATTTCTGATTTCCGGCAATACGTTATAAATTAATAATTCAATTACTAAATAATTTAGTCGCGCGGCATCGTTTTCCGATTGAGCAATATTTATATTTCTCGATGATCGTTTAAGCTGTTAAGTGGTCTTGCGAGTATACTTCCCACTCTTCAGTATTTATAGTGCGAATATAAAATCGTGCGACGAATAATCCTTTCTTTTTACCCTTTGTGGGCGTCTCGCTGACCTGGAACCACGCGGCGTTCGTCAAAGGGTAATATGAACTATTTTTACCCCCGGCGGTCGCGCGCGCTCGACACCTCTAATGAAAGATTATTCCCGCGGAGCAGATAAACGCACTTCGCTGCCGTGTACATTAGCAACGTTTGTACAGTGCGAGTAAAGCGAACTGTGTAAGCTGTCTGGCTCGTAATCAGGTTCCGCTAATGCGGCCATGTGATTCTCGCATCGTCTGATAACACGCGAGCTTTGTAGTAGGAACAATCACAAACTGGGAGCCGCGCGGCTTTAACTGACGCTTTTCCGTCTGTCACTTTAGCTCATTCCAGTATGATTTGGAAAGATTAAATTTGTATATCAAAGCCTTCTAAATAAATAATTCCAAATCAGTCCTGAACAACAAGTCAATCAAAGTAAAATAATATTTTGATAAAGATAATTAAAATTATTTCATTGAAGCTGAACTTCATTTGAAGTTTAATTTTAGAATCATTTATTTTCAACGGCTTGAAAAACATAGATCAATTTAAAATTAGATTCTACAATAAAATAAAATATTCAGCTGCGCTTTCTATCTACATTTAGATACTTTTCTTGCATATTTTTATATTTCTGTTCATATTTCTGTAGCAGAAATAAAAGATTTATTACATCATCGGTTTTTGGCAGCGTTACTTAAAAATTTCGATCGCGCTTCACGCGATTAACGTAACCGTTCGAAATTCGATGCATAATCATGCGCGGTTTCCCATGCATTGGAAGAAGTCCAAGAACAAACGCTATCGATCGGGATGGACATCTTTGTGTTTGCGCGGAGCGAACACGCTCGACACTAGTCGCGTTTCGCGTCAGATAAAGCAGATAAAAATCAGATAACCTTTGGCATGTGCTCAAGGTACTGGTCAAAGTTTTGGCGTGAAATAGAGCAGCTGAGTATCCAGCTTTCCATCAATTATCCGAGTGATTCGCATCGGAAATGCGTACGGCTGCACTTTGCACATTCCGAGTCACGTAGGAGACATAATCTGACTATGTAAATAAAAGGCAACTGCTCGCGAAGCAAATGAAATGATGAGAAGGGGGTGTGATGGAATTTTATGGTTTCTTCGCTTATGCCAGATACCATGTTTAACGATGGAATAATTCTAAAAGTGGCCCGATTATTTTGCGAAAACTGTAAACTACGAATATTCTTAGAATTATAATTGTAAGGATAAAAATGTGAAACTATAACAAATTTCAGAAATCTACGTTCAATGATATGCTTAATGAAATGTTTTTAAGACTGATCCGACTTTTTGCACGATTTGCCAAACTATAAATGTTCTTACAATTGTGGTTATATAACGGTACAATTATATAAATGCAATCGTAAGAATATAAATAGACGTTAGAATAGAAGTCCGCGTAGACATCTAATAACACCATTTTCTTTTCTTTTCTTTTAATGTCCTCGTAGATCTTTTTTAAATTTGACCTAGTTCATGGTGCCCGATTGTTCTGAATAAACAAAGGACGGAGTCTGCCAGGATATATAGATCTCGTTAAGATGAACTATACTGAAATAAAATAACGCAGAGACATTTTGTTCAACGACTCTCGGTTGGGAGTTGTGCGACTTGAGCGAGTTGATAAGCGGAGTAGTGCAAAACTAGGGCAAATTTGAAAAATCTTGAAAAATGCTGGTGAAAGGGACGCATAACGTTCTCTCGCATTTCGGCGCACGACAGTCATGGTTGTTGGTCTTTTTCGTACATCATCGAGGAACCACGAACCGATGGGTCGATGCAGCGCCGGCGCTGCGGAGTGCGCGACCACGAAGACGAGCGACCCCACCACCGCCGGCGTCGCCGTGTGCCGTCCGAACGATCGCGTCGACGTCGAGGTGCGACGCAGAGGGAGGATCTCGCCTCTCTCGTTCCTTCTCTCCCCCCTTCCCGCCCCCGTCCTCATCCCCGTCTCGGTCTCGATGCACCTCGTCGCCGTGTTCCGCAGAACGCTACGCGCCGCGCTCGAAGGCACTGTGGAACACGCCGCGCGTTCACCAGCTAGAAAACCGACAGCCGACGACGAGCTCGAACTCAGCCTCGCTCCGCGAACGGACTAACAGCGGTCGAACACGAGTCGATCAGGTGAGTGTGACGGTAGTTCGCAATACAGGGGAACAGACTCGAATTAAACGCTGAAGTACTTGGAGAATCGTTTGAACTCCGAACCCGACGAATTTAGGGCCAATTCGGCGGCGAACAAGTAAAATGATATAGTGATCGGAGTCACGATATTCCTCGGAGGATTATTTGTCTCTGCGACATTCTTTATGTAAAATAAAATAGTCTGCATTCTGTCAGAATATTTCTTCATAATATTTTTCGTAATATTATATAAAAATTATTGGTACGATATTAGAATGAAAGTCTGTGTCACTATATATGCGCCAGGCTACATTCGCGTCCACACGCGGGTTAACGGATCGATCATCAACGTGGTTTTGACATTTAGCGACTGGCAGTCTATCCTCGCTGAAGCCACCATAGCGAGGTATAAGCACGACGATCATTATCGTTAGGTTTTTTCGTGAAATCTAAAGTTCGCCAAGCTTTTGTAGGCTTTTAACACTTTAATCGTCCACCTTTTTTGTCAAGAATTGTTATCTGTGCAAACGACGCGAAAAAGTGTGCAGCTCTGTTGTCTCAATTCTTCAGGTGTCTAGAAGTTTGTAATTTTCTATGAGCCGTTATGGATTTTCGAGCTGTCACGACTGCCGTAACGGAATTTATCGGCTGTCGCGCGTTAAATTAATCAATAATTCACGCGGAGACGCTTAGATTCGCTGTTAGTGAATTAACGCGAGCGCGCGGCATCGTAATCGCGCGCCAACCGGGATGGACGGTTCGAAAAGATTGGACTCTTCGAGGCGCGATCGTGCTCCAGGAAACCCTACGGTTGCCTGAATAAATCTTATTCTCAGAACTGTCGATACCAAAAGCAATTATCGAGTAATTGTCGAGTAATTGAAATGCCGAGATGATCCAGGAAGTTGAAGATAAATCTCTTTCGCTACACTTCTCCCTTTTCCTCTCAAAGCTTGAGAATCGAAGGCTACAGTCAAATAACATAAATCTAATCACAGTGAGCGCGTCGCAAGCGCGCGTTAACGCGAATTGAAATCTGTACAATTCCGACTGATCGAATTTTGATATTACAGACGCGCGAAAATGATTTCTACGTCTTGATAAAGTCCGGAGAACGACAATCTACTTTCCGGGACGTCGAAAATTGAAATTTCCGGCATACGCGAAAATGACATCTGTGTTTGCGGAAAATCCGCGATGATGACAGTCCATTTTCTCGAATTTCGAAAATTGAGAGGATATCGTAACGGTTTCGTATCCCGCACGCGTAAGCGCGGACGCGTCGATATTTTTACATGCACGCGGATATATATATATACCGTTCATCAATTTGTATTCCGCTTTTACCAATGGCTCGTAACCTTCGCAACTCGCGTGCACCAAGTAGAACTCATTCAGCAAAGTGGCGCGTGGAGGTTTAAGGACGGCCTCGAGCAACGGCCAAGATTTAGGGCACGGAATTACTCGACACGCGTGCACGCGTGTACGCGGATGTAAAGCTCGCGGTGCATATTCACGTGCCAGCTCCGTGGAGATAAAGCGAACGTATATCTAACGTCACCGTCCGGAATAATTTTTACGCAAAACGAAACCTCATGCGGATAATTCAGTGGAAAAGGATCGGAAAATGTCAGACGCTGGGCAGAGACATGAATCACGGATAATATGACTTGCCGGCGGGAAGGTTTTTCTTCAAAGATAAATATATGGAAGATAATTTAAGTCATAACATTCAAATAGATCTTTTTACGTAAAGCATAAAAATAGAAAACTCTCTCGACCGCTTTCTCTTTGGATTTTATTTGCATTTATTCTAAAAAAAGAGGAAAGGAGAAACGTGGAAGCCGCACTTCTGGGGATCTGATTCGATTTGCATTTGTCGAAATTACGGCTAACTGCAGTGGCAGCTGCGCAGGGCTTGAGGGCCGCAAGTTAGCACAGAGACAAGTTATGGTACGCGGAATACGCATTTACTGTTGCTGCTATTAACGATGTGTGACATCACGATCGCGTAACGCAGATGACGGCTGGTAAAACGTATCGAAAGAGAAGGAGAGAGACAGAGAGAGAGAGAGAGAGAGAGAGA